TATATTTGAAAATTAATAAAAAGAATTAATCTCAATTGTTCTACTAAAAATTTTTCTTTATATAAACTTTTATTATCAATTTTTTGGATATTCACCAAAAAATCTAAGACTTGAAGTATGAAAATTTATGGACAACCCTAATACATATTTCATAGACTAGAAAGATTAGAGAAAAATTGTTCAAATCTTAGAATGAAAAATGCATCATTGAATGTTCATAAAGTAAGCATTGATAAATTGATATTGAGAATTTAAATTTATATTAGAGTAGCTAAATCTAAATCTACTAATGCACTTATATAGATAATTAGATATAATTAGATTTTAATTAGGTCTAACCCAAATACATTAAAAATGTATTAAAGGGTATCATATGTATCATACAATATACATTGATACGTTAGTGTCTCGATAGACATACTATTGATTTATAATAAGAATTAGTTTTTCTTTAACAAGCCTTTGGAAAGATCATGTCTTACATTGTAAGTTTGTAATTGCAAGTACAAGTGCAGAATAGATGAAAAGCTAAATGCTCAATTTAGTCTCCAACTTTTGCGATGTTACTCAATATAAAACATAATTTTTTTTAATTTTTAACAATATAGAACTTAATTTATTTGATAATTAAGTTCTTTGAGGGATGAAATCTTGCTAGCATTGTACATGTGCCATTAGTTTCAAAAGCTAGGTAATTTTATTGCCAAATCATATGCCACGTGGGATGCTTACATATAAAACCATATTTTGTTAAAGGAAAGTATTAAAAAGTTAAATAAATTAAAATCCTTTTCGTTTATTTTCCCTTTATAAAAACCCTTACTTAATTTAAACTCCATTTCCTTTAATTTTTAGAATTGCAAATTAAAAATTTTCAAGCAAAGAATTTTATTAATTAGAGTTTCATTCAAGTTAAAGGTTTGCATTAAAACTAAAGGTTTATTTAAGAAATGAGCTACTCGATGTTGACTAGTTCTTCAAGGTATTTGTGAAATTTCTTACAATTGTTCTTTGTTTCTACATGTTTTCTTTCAATAATTTTCTTTATCTTACATCTTTACATGTTTTTTAATGTTATTTGGTTTTCATTTTTTTTGTACTCGTAATTTCATTTGATGAGATTAAAATTATATTGGCTAGGCCTTGCATTGTACAAGCAATATAAAAAATCCATTAAAACGTAATTGAATTTTTTATATAAATATTATAAATGAAACTTTTATTAAATAAGTTATATTACTTTATTATTTATTAGTCTATCACAATTGTCTATCCTGTTTCATATCCTATATCGATATGTGATTTTAAGAGATCAAGAAACCGTCTTTAATAAGCTATGCATTCCACTTCTATCATTCCTTAAACAATTTGAAACATTTGACTATTTTCATCTCGACCCACAACATAAAATAATTCATTATTAGTCAAGCTTTTCAACTAACACCCATTTAGCCCTAAAAAAGGTATAGAGCCATTCTCAATACCCTTTTTAAGTTCATGAAAACATATATAGTGTCTTTTCAACATAGCTGATGAAGTCGAGATCTATCTACGCACTTATAATTTTACTTCACTACCAAGATTAGTGTCATTGATTGAATTTTTATAATCTTACAAATAACTAAACTCTTATTTATAATTGCTGACAACCTTATCAACAATCTCTTATTTTGTCATTTTGATCAAGCTAATATTAATCGCAATGTTATTTTTATCATTAATTGCTTTTTACACTGCTGCATTTTCAATAAAATGATATTTCTTAAACTTTTAAAAGTACAATTCAACCAATAAAGATTGGGTCAGTCGAATTTTCAAACACATTATTACAATCATGATTATCCTTGTAAGTCTTCACTTGAAGAAACTATAGATTATTATGACATGCTTTATAAATAACGTACAAGCAATTCTTCTTATCGCACTTGCCTCTGACATGAGTGTTACTCTTTTTAGCCCAGAAATTACCTTATTATCTTAAAAGACAACAATGACATATCATGTTTAAATTGTTTAGAATTCTCAAATAACATGTCTAATTCAATATAAAGGTTAACTACAGGTGGATAATACATTAAAAATTTAGTTTTCCTTTTAGTTGCATCATCTACCATTTTTTCTTCATCATTGACAAGGTCACCATATTCATCCAACTCATAATATTCACTTTGATATCATTGTTTAGACTCTTTATTATTTTTTGGCTCATTATGTTAGCCTTAAATCCTTCACCCCATTATTGAACATTCACAAGAATGCTTACTCCCTCATTTCCTTCTTAAACATTTATAGGAATGCTCACTTCATCGCTTTTTTTTTTTTAACATCAACCATATCACCCAATGCATAATCAGTTTGATAGCTCTATCACTAGAAACCTCATCATAATCACCCATTTCTTCATCAATCACTGCATCATTCACAACCTTTTCATTCCTTACCTCTTGACTTTGAGTAGGTGGTGGTAAATTAAAAAATTAAGGACTATATAGGCTTATTTATGCCATGATCAATATAAATATCAATCAACCCATAGTTTATCATAATCCTTATCATAACAATAGTGCTCTCATCATCCCAGACTAATATAAGCCTATTGCCAAGTGGTCTTTCAGGTTTTAAATGAAATATTATCCTAATGTTAACAAAATTAGCGTCTTCAAATGTGTTTAGTAACTTATAAAATTATGGTGAAAAAATAATGAGAAAATCAAAAATAGATTCGAAATCATAGTATTCAGTTTGGTTCAAATCATTTTTTTATTCGATTCAGATTAAATTCAAACATTAAATATATATTATGTTCAGATCAGATGTTAGATTAAAAAAGTGAAAAACTGAAAAGAAAAACTGAATCAATTATATATTTTTATTAGCTTTTATATTTTTTAATTTTTTATAAAATAAAATAATTATTTTTTATCTAAATCTATTTACATATAGTAAAATCTTATTCAAATAATATATAAAAAAATTAAATTTAAACATAGATAAATTAAACCAAACCAAAATAATAAAATTCAATTCGGATCAAATCAATTTAAAAAAAAAATTGGTTCGAATTTGGATCAATTTTAAAAATTTCATAATACTATACATTATCCAAAAAAACTAAACTGAATCCTATCTAGTCTGAACCGTTATCACATTTAATAAAAACTAACCTTATCAAGGTCAAATGTAATGTCATCAATAATCTTATTTACATACTAAAGATTTTACCCAAACCTAATAAATTTTTCATGATAATGAAACCTTATTATCTCTAATTCAAAACTTATTATTGTGAAAAAATTAAACAAGTTAATTTATCACTATTTTCTAATTCGTTATCATCTCAATAAAAATTGACCTTATCAGGATCAAATATAAGGTTATCAATAGCCTCATTTACATATTAAAGATTTTGACTAAACTTAACAAATCTTCTCTCATAATGAAATCTTATTATCCCTAATTCAAAATTCATCCCCCGTAAAAAATGAATACACTAATTTTTAGATAATAATTACAGTCTTTATTATACACACATTTTACAATAAGTATTTATACCTAAGTCAATATATACTAAAACTTATATTTAAAAAAAAAATTACTTAAAGCATAGATATCACTAGCCAAATCGCAATAAAAGAGGTAATTACACCATATGCCCAGAAATATAACACTTATTTTGCAATAATTTTATCGTAAAAAAATCATTTATTAGATTTTGTTATAAAAAAGGAAACAATTTATCATTGCCTTCCTCGTCACAACTCATATAAATCAAATGTTAACCCTTAAATGTAAGAAAGATCACAGAGTTAAGGATTTTTACTAGTAAATCAAATGATTTTTCAATTTTGGTTAGATCGATCAGGAAAAATAAGGCTAAGATTTTCACCTTGAATGATTTTAGGTTGAATTGATTTGGGTTAGAGTTGAATCAATTGAAAAAAAAAAGTTTCTTCTATAACAATTTAAGCTAAATCGATTTAGATTTAGAAAATGGAATAAAAATGAATTTCTCCAAATCTAATTTTTGGGATAATTGAAAAGTATGGGTAATAAAAGTATTTTGTAATTATTTTTAAAAATTTTATCAATTAAAATAAATAAATTTTTTCATTAAATAAAAATTACATAATTACAATAAATAATGTTTAATGCAAGCATATTGTCGCATGTATGACACCTTTAAGATTTCATCCCTCTAAAACTTAATTATTAAATTTCAAATAAATTAGATATTAAATTATTAAAATAAAAAAAAAATCATGAATCAAACAATCTCACAAAAATTGAGGACCAACATTTAGGATGATCATGAAATTCATTGCACCCCAAATGCGGTCTAGTTGTTTTGAAAAGTCGTGTCAATAGCAAACTTCGTAACCCAAACAATATTATGGCTCAATGAGATTTTTGCCAGTTATTGGAGTTTGAAGCTTCAATCCACTATTGTCATATACTTTTTTTTTTGTTTCTTTATTTTTCTCCCTCGAATTAACAACTTTCAATTTTTCTTTTTCTATTTTTTTTTCATTTTAATTTTTTATTTAAAAATTATAAACTAATTTTATTAATTTAAGATAAAAATAAATTTTATTATTACATAATAAATTAATTAATCAATAAATTTTATTATTTATATAATAAATTGATAAATAAATTTTAATTATTTATTAACAAAATTATTATTAATTAAAACAATTTAATAAATTTTTAATTATATATTAATTTTATAAATATTAAATAATTTAAATTTTTATTACATATAAATTTTAATCAATATCTCTATGATCATTTTATTTTATTATTATAATTCACTTCATTATTACTATTATTTTTACATTTAAATATATATTTTATTATTAATTTTAATCTTATTATTACGAGATGTTATTTTTTATTTTCAATGTTAACCCATTTAAATACACTTTGGTCCGCACCAAGTCGAGTCCGGATAGGATAAGGTGACCCTTACACCATTTTGGCGCCAAAATTTCGCGCCAAAAAAAAAGTTCTACTTATTTGGGCGCCGTCCTAGAGAGTGTCACATGTTTCTGTTTCTAATACGGTTGAGTGGGCAAAGAGAATCGGAGAAGAATGGCTGGTGAAGATTCGGGAAATCCAGTGCCGTCGACGCCAGAATCGCCGACATCTGCAGGATTTAACACGGATCAATTGCCCCATGACAGTAGCCACTCGTCGGATGAGGAAGAGGCGGCGGTGGATCCTGAGATAATTAGAGACGAGGCGGATGAGGTAGATGAAGAGGAAGACGAAGGAGAAGATCTGTACAATGATAATTTCATGGATGATTATAGGAGGATGGATGGGCAAGACCAGTACGAGTCGATTGGGTTGGATGAGTCTATGGAGGATGAGAGAGATTTGGATCAGATCATGCTGGATCGTAGGGCTGCCGAGTTGGAGCTTGATGCCCGTGAGGCTCGCCTCTCCAATCGCAAGCTTCCCCAGCTTCTGCATGACCAGGGTCGGTATTTACTTGCCTTGTAGGTCTTTCAAATTGTATCAACCTCTCCTATAATACCCATTTTAGGATTCATTAGAAACAACCCAATTTGAATGATATGAAGTGCTCCATAGCTTTCTTTTTTTCTGTTTCTGCTCCGGCTTTTTCTTTCGTTGTATATGAATTAGTTAAGATTTGGAGTTGAAATGATGATTGCAGATACAGATGATGACAATTATAGGCCTTCTAAGCGGTCAAGAGCTGATTTCAGGCCTCCAGCTGCAGCAAGAAGCTACGATGACACTGATGGAATGCAGAGTTCACCAGGAAGGTCACAGCAAGGCCCCTCAAGGGATGATGTACCCATGACTGATCGAACTGATGATTACCCTTACGAGGTTCAAAACTCTCCTTAGCTTCAATCATTTTGGCATTTCAAATTGCATCTAACTTTCCTCGTCATATTCAGGATGAAGATGATGATCAAGGCGAGTTTGAGATGTACCGTGTTCAGGGAACATTGAGAGAGTGGGTTACTAGAGATGAAGTGCGTCGCTTCATTTTCAAGAAGTTCAGGGATTTCTTACTTACGTATGTGAACCCAAAAAATGGACATGGGGACGTTGAATATGTACGCCTCATAAATGAGATGGTGTCAGGTGAAGCATCTATTCAACTTAGCCTCTAGTTTTGGAAAGCTTAATGCATAAAAAAGTTTGATCAATATTAAAATATTCTGTACGTGTACTCATTGTTCCATTTTGTAGCTAACAAGTGCAGCTTGGAGATTGATTATAAACAGTTCATTTCTGTTCATCCTAATATTGCAATCTGGCTGGCTGATGCCCCCCAATCTGTCCTAGAAGTTATGGAAGATGTTGCCCAAAGGGTGGTCTTTGATTTGCATCCAAACTACAAGAACATCCAGCAAAAGATATATGTCCGCATTACAAACCTTCCAATTTATGATCGAATTCGGGATATTAGGTAATTTAGAATGTCCACTTTTTATCACAATATTGATATATTTTTCTTCTCTATAGTTTCAGCTTTACCTTTTCATTTGGTTATTTCCAGGCAAATCCATTTGAACACCATGGTTCGCATTGGGGGTGTTGTGACTAGACGCACTGGGGTCTTTCCCCAGTTGCAACAGGTAAAATACGATTGCAACAAGTGTGGAGCAATTTTGGGACCATTCTTTCAAAATTCATATTCAGAGGTCAAGGTTGGTTCCTGCCCTGAATGCCAATCAAAAGGGCCATTCACTGTCAACATTGAGCAGGTGAAGTTTTTACTCTCTTCTCGTGCACCTGCATTTGACTTCTGTATATTTTTGTGGACAAGAAAGGCTTATAAATTGGATTCTGTTTTTGAGCTTCTATTTGTTGTTAAGAATTAAAAGTTTAAAACAGCTCCCACCAAACCGTGAATAAGTTTGTATTAATCTTAGCAGTGGTTTTGTTTTTGATAAATTTCCTGTCCCAATCAATATCAATTAACATTTTTATTTAAGATCTAGTTTTCGTTATATATTCTTCCTTGCGTTGTTGCAGACGGTATATAGGAACTACCAGAAGCTCACACTCCAAGAAAGCCCAGGAACTGTGCCTGCAGGAAGGCTTCCAAGATACAAGGAAGTAATATTGCTTAATGATCTAATTGATTGTGCCCGTCCTGGGGAAGAAATTGTAGGATCCTCTTCCTGTATTTGTTTGGTACCTATTTCTTGTGTCAGGAACACTAATTTTTGTTTTGCATCCCATGTCACTTCTTGCAGGAAGTCACAGGCATTTACACAAATAATTTTGACATGTCATTGAACACAAAAAATGGATTTCCTGTCTTTGCCACCGTGGTTGAGGCAAACTATGTTACAAAGAAACAGGATCTCTTTTCTGCCTATAAACTTACTCAGGAAGATAAGGAAGAGATTGAGAAGTTGGCCAAGGATACACAAATAGGAGAAAGGGTTTGTTGTTCATAATACTTTTCTGTTTTTGTAAACTGTGCCCCTGTTTTTATAAAAATATTTGTAATGCTCTTTTTTGGTCAAATTCTAATATGAATGCTTAATGACCCATTTTTCAGATTATCAAGTCCATTGCCCCTTCAATCTATGGTCATGAGGACATAAAAACTGCAATAGCTCTTGCTATGTTTGGGGGACAGGAGAAAAATATAGAAGGGAAACATCGACTCCGTGGAGACATCAATGTACTACTTTTAGGTGATCCAGGCACGGCAAAATCGCAATTTCTCAAGTATGAGCTAGCTCTCTAAGTTCTTAAGTGTGAATCAGATCCCTTAGTAATGAACATGCATTTAAAATTTAAAGGATTTTATTTTAAGATATGTTGAAAAGACCGGGCAGAGAGCTGTTTATACTACTGGCAAAGGAGCTTCTGCCGTGGGGCTCACAGCAGCGGTGCACAAGGATCCAGTCACAAGGGAGTGGACCCTTGAAGGAGGAGCCCTTGTTTTAGCTGACAAAGGGATTTGTCTTATTGATGAGTTTGATAAGATGAATGATCAAGACAGGTAAGGGAAGCCCAGCATAAATGTTGGTAGTATGATTAGATAACTTCAGCAAGCACCCTTCCGCCTTTGCTTTTCTTTTCTTCTTTTGTGGAATTACTTGAGCGATAAATTTTTTGAAACATCTGTTTATTCAGGGTGAGTATCCATGAAGCAATGGAGCAGCAAAGCATTAGCATATCAAAAGCTGGGATAGTTACTTCTCTCCAAGCTCGTTGCTCTGTCATTGCAGCAGCAAATCCGATTGGAGGAAGGTATGCAAATAGATGGTTTGGCCAATGATTTCATTTTTAGAGTTTAGCTTATTTTTCATGGGCTATGAGATGCACCAACAAGGGGATTTCTGAACTCCGCTCTAAGGATTCATTTTCTTGTGTATTTATATTTTTGGAGATTCAAAATGACAAACCCTGCCCCTCCCCAAGCCTAGAACTCTTCATTTTGGTTATTTCTTTTTTCTTCCCCCAGATTTATCAAAAATTTTTTCAAGAATCAATTCATAAAACTAATACGCATGCTTGCTTGCAGATACGATTCCTCGAAAACTTTTTCTCAAAATGTTGAGTTGACGGATCCCATCATCTCCCGTTTTGACATTCTATGTGTTGTTAAGGTTATTCCCTTCTGGGCTCAATACTTAATTTTCTTTGTAAATTTCTATTATCAGGTCTTAATCGGGTAAAAATCTTGATTTCAAATGCAGGATGTTGTTGACCCTGTAACAGATGAGATGCTTGCAAAGTTTGTAGTTGACAGCCACTTCAGGTCCCAACCTAAGGGTGCTAATATAGATGACAAAGCCTTCAGCGATTCTCAAGAAGAGACTCAAGCTTCTGCTGGACCAGCTGATTCAAAGGTTCATAATGACAATTTTATCATGCTCTCTTAACTGCTTGTAACTTTGAGGCCTTGTCTTCCAACTAATCATGAATTTTTATTTTTACACTTCAGATTCTTTCTCAAGAATTGCTAAGGAAATATGTAACATATGCCAAATTGAATGTATTCCCAAGGTTCCATGACAAAGATATGGCTAAGCTTACTAAAGTTTATGCTGATCTGCGAAAAGAATCTTCTGTAAGTTTCCTTTTCTCGTTTTGCTTGATTGAATTTGAAAGTGTTTTTACTTTAATGTTCCAACGCTTCATATCCATTGTGCCTGTGTAGCGTGGACAAGGTGTCCCTATAGCAGTGAGGCATATAGAATCGATGATCAGGATGTCTGAAGCACATGCCAGAATGCACCTCAGGCAGCATGTCACAGAAGAAGATGTGGACATGGCTATTCGGGTCCTTCTTGAGTCATTCATTTCAACACAGAAGTTTGGGGTGCAGAAAGCCCTACGAAAGGTATAGGCGGTTCACTTCCTTTTGCAGAAGCTTTCTCCATAAGTTGCAAATACCTCAAAAAATATGCCTTAGTGCAGGAATTTTTTTTTCTCTTATGAGTTTGTTCGACATATATCGAGTACTTTGTTTCTTTTATTTTTTTCATCTCTATTTGGATTTTAAATAAGATTGGGCAGGTAGTATTCTCAAGGCCTGCATTTCTCAAGCAGGGTACTTATGCATTGATGTTGTTATTCCAATGGTTTTGGCAATTATCGGTTCGATGTGTTTAGGCCTATTCATTTATGTATGGACAAGTTCACTACTTGTTGATATAGTATTATTCATGCCTTGCTATCTAAATTGATATCTTATTGTATCGTGGATCAAAGCTATGCCCGGCATCCTTTTAAACTTTCACTCATTTTGGAGTTACAGGAATCCATGGGCATTGCTCTGTCAGGCTTTTGCCAGTAGAATTGTTATTGTCCCTAGCTTACAAGCTCTTTTTAAGAGTTCCCTACACGATGCATTACTAACTTCATTCAATTCTGTTAGATAGATTTTCTTATGCAATTCACCGAATTTGCTTTTTTTCTTTTGAGAAAGAATTTGCTGATTGAAGGTCAAAAGTTGATAGTTTCTTTATTTAAAAGACAAATTTGTTTGTCATAAAGAGGCTGAGAAGAATCTGATATTGTATTTTGCAGAGCTTCAGGCAATACATAACTTTCAAGAAGGACTACGATGGACTGCTACTTGTACTTCTAAGAGAGCTTGTGAATAATGCAATTCGCTTTGAAGAAATACTTTCTGGATCAACTTCAGGGCTTACCTATGTTGATGTGAAAGTAGCAGATCTGCAAGCCAAGGTGTACAAGAACTTCAAGTTTTTATTTACTAATGATGTTAGACTTGTGGACACTTACCATATTTATATTTGGATTTTAATTACATTTTTTGTGCAGGCTGAAGAGTATGAAATCACTAATTTGGAAGGCTTCTTTTCTAGCTCCGAATTTAGAGCCTACTACGAGTTGGACGAACAAAGAAGAGTTATTAGGCATCACCTTGCAGGTGATGACAAACCATAGCTGCGACATTACATGGACAGGTCAGTCCTTTTGGTTCTCAAGGCATGAAGTTCCTAGACAATGATGACTAGCTAGTACCATCCTCACCCAGCTATTTTGGATGATTGCAGATAGCTCCTGTGATGCCAGTGGGTGATAACTACTATGTATGGGGAGGCCAACCAACTTTTGTGACGATGCTAGTTGACTCAAATCACAAACCTCAGATTCTGCTACTGTAGGCACATTTTATTTGATGACTAAAATGATGCGTATTCTGTCGTTGATTTTGTTTTAAGTAAATGTGTTCAAACAGGAATTTACTGCCAGCAAGGACTTTTGGTTTACATTGTCATCCTCACTTCTGTTGTCTCTCTTTGTGAAGGGAATTGTGGGCTTGGTTGGATTCTCATTCTGATAAATGATGTAGCCTTTTCTAGAGTGGAAGATTGTAAGAATAATCACCCTGCTCAAAAGTGAAAATTACTGAAAGGAAAAAAAAAAAAAAAAAAAAGGAACCCCAACTAATTCAAGGTGATGAATTGTATGATTTTCATGCAATGATAAACCATCAGATGCAGTCAGCTTTTCCACAGCCAGGTTATGCCACGTGAATCGTGATATGTGCCCATGCTTGCCCGGTGATGGATGTGTCGAACCTTAAAATCCGACATCCATTGGGACAACTTGTTATAAAGCAGAACGAAGGTTACTAAACTGCATGCCCATTCAATCAAATTTCATGACCTCTTCACAGAAATATCACACCACAACGACGTTTAAAAAACTTTATTAAAAGGGAAAGCCTAAGCTTATCACGCGAGGGAAAGGTTAAACAGACATTGAAAATCAATTGAAAGGAAAATGTTATTCGTATCAGCAGTCAAAAGCTCCAATCACATCTAGAGATTTGGATCACAGAATAGCAAAGGGTGAAAAATTAGATCACCAAAGATCCCCACATGAACAATGTCCATCCTTAAAATGGTGGAAATAATTTGGATCCTTTATTATGATTTCTCTTTCTACAATCTTGGATATAACCTTTGCAAAGTCATGGCAGCTTCGACATACTCTGAGATTCTTTGTGACACGAATAGGTACTCTCCCTTTTGTACTGATAAGCCCAAAAGAAATGGCTAACATTTCACTATGTCCAATTAGAATACATTCACGTTCTTCATCAACATCATGGAGGCTAAACACTGAACTAGGCCTATGTCCTTCATCTTCCATTTTCTTCATTAAATTCTGCAACTCCCAATGTATTATCTCAGATCTCGGGTGGGAAACATCTCCGGTTCCAAACACATGAACTTTATTTCGAAACTCTATCCAACTGTATGCTCTTTTAGGCTTCAAACCCATGTCTTTGATTGTCATCTTTAGTTTATCAACCATGTCCCATTTTGCACATTCTGCGTACCAATTTGACAGTAACACATAGTTTTCAGCATTAAGGGGATCCAAATCACAAAGCTGCTCAACAATTCGTTTACCCATCTTTACTTGATGGTGGATCCTGCATCCATCCAGCAAAGCTCTTAATACCTCTGCATTATTTTCAATCTGGTGTTTCTTGATAAAGGTCCGTGCCTCATCAAAGAGTCCAGCACGAGCTAGAAGAGCTACCATTAGAACACAATGTGTAACCGTAGGTGCCTGAATGCAATTGAAGTAAAACATTCCTTCATCAACCCTGCAAGCAGTAACACATGCGTGGAGAACTGCAGCATATGTGAATTCATCAATTTCTAAGCTGGAGTCTTTCTCCATCTCAAAGAACAAATCTAGTCCCCGCCCTCCCTGTCCATGCAAGCTATAGCCCAATATCATTATAGTCCAAGAAACAATATCTCTCTTCATCATGGACTTGAAAACATTTGATGCCAATTCAATGAATCCTGATTTGACATACATGTCCATGTAAGCGTTCTGGATTGTGAGATTCACGTCTATTTCATTCCTAAGCAAGTAGGCATGTAGTTCCTTCCCTTGCTTATGAGCTGGTACTCTTGCACAGGCCGGAAGAATGCTAGAAATTGTGAGAGAATCAGGTTTTATTCCAGCAACAGTCATTCGGCGAAACAATTTGAGGGCCTCGTTATATCCTCCCTTTTTGACATGCCCACGAATCATCTCTGTCCATGAAATAACATCTCTGGATGGCATTGCATCGAAAACAGATCGAGCTTCCTCCATACTATCACAATCAATATACATTTTCAAGAGTGAATTGCTGACAAGTTGATGAAATTCCAAACCGCATTCCCTAGCAATCTGATGCATGTTTCTTGCCTGTTGTAGAGACTTTAAGAGGGAACATGTGCCAATAGCTGTTGCCAATCCTACTGGATCAATATCAGCCTTCAATCGAAACATTCGGTTAAAGATTTCAATAGCCGAGTGGGGCTTATTTTCCATCAAGTACAACTTAGCTAGTAAAGTGCAAGCTACAGAATTGGAAGTGGCGGCATTATCCAACACAGATTTTGCAGTCTCAACACCGTGTAGACGACCATACATTTCTATTAAAGCAGTGATGACATAGAGGTCGGAGGAGAAGCCAAGCTTGAAAGCATGGGCATGAACTTGTTTCCCAAATGCTAAGTTGAAGCAATGACGAGAAGCGGTTAAGACGCGTGGGAGAGTATGCTTGTCGGGACGTACACCACGAAGCATCATTCCATGATAAACAGAGAGGGCTTGTTGAGGATGCTCATTGGAGAGATGGGCTTGGATCAATTGGTTCCAGGCAAATGTCTTTGTTAGGGGAATTTCGTCAACCATTTGGTGGGCCAAATCCAATTTATTCAAAGTCACACGGACCTGACGAAGATAACGACGACGCTCCAATTTGGGTTTGTTGACAGGCAAGTGTTTGTCTTTTTCCTTTAATAGGTGTACGTGTTTATCAATTGATGAAGGAAACGCAGCCATTTGTTTTCTTCTCCTGCCTTGTTATTTGTTATTTCTATTCTAAATTTCTAATTCCAATTTCAGGACTGCAATGACCGTGACCAACTGGAAAATGGAAAAAAGCACTTACCTCCGTGTTGAAAGGGTTCCCGAATATTTTGTCTCTAACAATCACGATACCATGGGCATGTAGTAAGGTTGACATTTACGTTGTGAATACTCACCGTCTTATATGTGCCGCTTTGAATGCTCTTAAAACGTGGGGAAATTGAAGATGCGGCCCAAATGTTTGACAAAATGAGTGAAAGAGATTTGATTTCACTTCATGAAATTCATTGTTTTACGAGTTTTGTTACTCAGGGGAACCACTTGGATTCATTGAACATCTTTATTTTGACGGTTAAGCAACGTCGAGATATTTGGATGCATTTTTTTTCTTAAATGTTTATAATTTAAATAATATTATAATATATGGATAACATTGAACCGCTTAAACCGAAAATCAACAATTATCTGATTTAGGTATCTAATTTAATTTGTACAGGGAAATTTTATTAGACCTCATTTATTAATTTATATACCCACTTCAAAATACATTATAAATTCGAATTTTAATTTCTTATTTCTACTAAATACACCTTCACTTCTCACTTTTTATTTTTCATTCTTACCTTTTCTCTATTCTCTCTTCATTTATCAATAATAAATAAAAAAAACTCTAAATCCATCATACTAACTCCAAATCATATATGTTTTTTAGTTTTTTAGTGATTAAAGGTAAGATTATTATCTTATTTTCAATTGATTTTGATTGAATTGTGGTTGAAATTATGTAAATATAGATTAGGGTTTATAATAAGATTTAGATAAAATCAATTTCTTGAAAATAAAAATTCAAAAAATTTTAAAATTTTTCAAAAATTCATCTATGAAAAACTTATACTAAGATATTCATTTTTTATAAGATTTAAAGCTTTTCAAATATTTATTTTTGAAAATTTTTATAAACTTCCAAATTTTGATTTTTTACTTTTAATCACTAAAAATCTTACTCATATAGATTCATATCTCATGAGTTATTCAAGCATGATTTAATTGAAAATATATTCGTTTATGGACATATTTATTTGATCATACGTGCAAATGAAATTAAAATAAATGTTCTCAAATATGCACAACACAAACTTATTATTAAAATCTCATAAAACCAAAAATACTAACTTTTGATTTAAAACATAATTTTTTGATTTTGCATGAGCAAAAAAAGTGTTCTTAATTTTTTGGTTTTAAAACATGAACACTTTTATGTCCACGCATGCTTAAAATTAAAGTATTTTTTCTATTCACACATATGATCAAGTAACATGGATATATATAACTCACCTTCTTTCACCTATGTTTGCTTGAGAAATTGTCCATAACATTCTCACATTTATATTATTTATTTTAAAATTAAACGTATTTATTTTATTTAAATTAAAATTAAAACATTATGAATAATTTATAATCTAATATATATATTATATTACAACATACAAAGTTACATGACCAAAATTATTTATGTGGATGTCTAAGTAGATAATCTCTTTTAATGACACATAAGATAATATTTATATTATTTTACTTATCAAATAAAATTTTTTAATAAATTATATAAATTAAACATTTTGGATAATTATTAAAATTGAAATAAAAATCTATCTAAAATTAAAATTTTTGCATAAGATTTGAATTCAAATATATTAAATCATAATTTATCTTTTCTTTTTAAATTTAATAACAGTTCCAAGTGTATATGCTTAATAAATTTTATTTTTTGTCAAATAATTCTATTTAATAAATTATTTAAATTTAATATTTTTAGATTATTATTTAAATTTAAATCAAAATCTATCAAAATTAAAAATTATTTAATAGATTATTTAAATTTAATACTTTTATATAAGTTAATGAATTATTGACTAGAAAGCATATATGTTTAAAGTAATAAAAACTTACATTTTTATCTGAAAATAAGAGATATTTGAAAGTTGATAAAAAAATTAGATAAAAAATATGTTTTTGATTTGAAAACAAATATAATATTTTATTTATGTTCTAATTCAAATATTTTTTATGTTATATATTTGGTTAATTTATTTATTTCTCTTTAGTCCATAACTTTTTTAAAATTTGCTTAGATTGATTATAATAAACTTTTTGTATTATACATATTTTTTGTTTTATTCATTTCTTTAATGTTTTTATTCTCTGTTAATTATAATCAATCTTAATAAATTAATATGTAAATTAATATTCTTTATTTCCTTTTGTTATACTTTTTATTATTGAATTTCTTTGTTTACAATTGATCATATGAGAAGAATGATGATCACTACCATATCTAATTCACAAAAATTGCTATCAATTATGTTAAAAATGATTAAAAATAAAAAATATTTCAAAAATAAAGTTTTTAAACATAACATAAATAACTCTTATCCTAAAAATAACTTTATTTCAAAATTATTATTGACATATATAAAAATAATTGTTAGCCCAATATATTTATATAATAATAAAAAATAAGAACTAATAAAAACCAAATGATTATAATAAAATTAATAATTATGATTTATTGTTCAATCAAATATATATATATATATATATATGTACACCATTCAATCAACATTTTGATAAGAACAATTATTAATCTTAACTATTTAAATATTAATTTTTGATTTTTTATCAAATAAGAAAAAAACGATAATAAAATTTTTAGTATTTAGCAAATAAATTGAAGAAAATATTTTAAATAAAATTTTTTTTATAATTCTTAAAAATTTACAAAAGTTTAGATTTTTTTTAGATGAATAATATCATTTATAATATATTATGTATAAATTATTATTTAATTATAACTTAATATTTATAAAATATATGATTATATATTAGATAACTAATTAAAAAATAAATTTAAAATTATGAAAATTTTAATAAAAAAATTCGTATATTGTATGAGTTAAAAAAGCTAGTTAATATATATTTAAATAAAATTTTATATATTTTTAAAAATAAATTTTAATGTAAATCTTGAAAATTTATTTTTGAAAATATAATATAATTAAATTAATATCAAAATCGGTTGATTGTCGGGTAACGGAATAAAATAAAATAATTTATTTAATTTTTTTGGCCACAATTTATATATATATTCGTTTATTTCTGTGCCTCTTTCGTGTATCTGTAAAGAGATAGTGATAGAAACACCTGTTCAACAATAACAATGGGTGAAGCCGAAGCTGAAGCAGAAGCAATTTTAAAACAAGAGGAAGGAGGAGGGAAAAGAGAGAATCATCCGATGGAAAAAAGCAGAAAGGAAAAGAGGAAAGAGATGAAGAAGATAAAGAGGAAGCAGTTGAGAAAGGAGGCAGCGGAGAAGGAGAGGGAGGCGGAAGAGGCCAGGCTCAACGACCCCGAGGAGCAAAAGAGGATTGCGAGAGAGGAGGAGGAGGAGCTAAAGAGGAGAGAGATAGCATTGAATGAGTTCGAAGAGAGGGAGAGATCGTGGATCGAGGCTATGGAGATGAAGAGGAAAGCTCAAGAAGATGAGGAACAAGAGGAGAAGAAAATGAATGATCTAAATGAGGATTCCAACGGAGAACAAAGAAAACAGGTTCCTTTATTCGGCTTCTTTTTTATTTTTATTATTATTTTTGGTTGTGTTTGGTCTCTTTGAGAAAGGGCAGGAAAGGAATTAAAGCAAAAAAAAAAAAAAAAGGGAAACATTTAAATCTTCGGTTTGGCATTGTTCTTATTTGGTTTTTTGTTTTTGTGGGTAATTGCTACCACTAGTTTGTTTGTGTGACTGTGTTTTCTAGGTAATAAGAAAACTGTGTGAAAAGAAAGGGAGTGAATATATGTATATATGTATTTATCACCCTTTTGGTCTTTATTAAAGCAGACTACCAGGTTGAATTAGTTATACTCACAATCTTAGGGATTCTTCTGGGCGAATTCTATTTGGTTCTTCAGAAATCTGGAACTGAAAGACTGTGGACATGTTTGTGTTTATTATTTGTAAATGGGTTGTCTTACATTATTTTATGATGGCCAGGAGGAGATGGGTGATGATTGGGAATATGTGGAAGAAGGGCCAGCTGAAATTATCTGGCAAGGAAATGAGATCATTGTCAGGAAGAAGAAAGTTAGGGTTCCAAAAGGAGAAGGGAATCAAAAGAGTAAAGGAGAGGTAAAGTTACGACAATCACCCATGATTTGTTTGTTTTATGTTATGTTTTTATCTTCTGGTTTTGGCAACAATTTTGGATGTTGAAGGATTTTGTTCCACAGGATGCTGATAGGCCTACATCAAATCCTCTTCCTCCACAATCTGAGGCTTTTGCTGACTACCTGAATGCATCATCAGCACAACAGGTGTTGGAGAGTGTTGCCAAAGAAGTACCTAACTTTGGAACAGAACAGGTCCAACATTCATCTCTCTAAAATGCTAAATATAGTTATCTATACGTAAACTTTAGTCCCATGTTCTCTCTTTCTCTTGGGGGTGGGGATGGGTATTGGGTTAGTCAGGTATCATCATTCTAACCTCATGGTTGTAATTTTGATAGGATAAAGCTCATTGTCCTTTTCACTTAAAGACCGGAGCATGTCGATTTGGTCAGCGTTGCAGTAGAGTTCATTTTTATCCTGATAAATCATGCACACTGCTTATCAGGAACATGTACAATGGTCCTGGCCTTGCATGGGAGCAAGATGAGGGACTTGAGGTCTGTAAACGCTGCCTTCATATGATTCCTGTGACTTGTATCCTGATAATAATTCCGTCATCATAAAACTACTTCCATACTGTGCTATCAATTTATATCTTGGGTTCTTTGCCTAATGAAGCCTGACTTATTTGCAATATTTTTATAACTGCAAAGATCTGAAGGTACATGAAAGTGCCTTCAAAATTTCCTTTTAAAATCATGTATGTTTTAATTTATCATGCCATTGGTTAATGTTTTGAATTCATAGAATCTTCATTATTTTAGGTTTTTGTCTTTGCCATTTTTTGCCCGGCTTAAAATTGTATTACTGATGTGTCATAGGTTGAGCATTTTAGCTCAGATTTACTTTTAATTGCTCTTTAGTTTCTTTAACTTACATCAGAGATGCATGGAGTCACTTCAATGGAGGTTCTTGGTTTTGGCATTGGTTGCTTGGTTGGAGTTGAAGCAATTAGCTAACCTGTATCCTCCTTGCTGTCGATGAGAGTGATTATTTTGTACTTTTTATCTTTTAATTTTTAATCTGTTTACCATACTACACATTTTTACTTTTTCCCTTTTTTCATTTGTCCCTTTTCTACCTTTCTTGTTTCCACTGTCCTCTTTGCCTTCTATCTACTATACTCTTAGAACAGTCATTGCGCCTATAATTTGAACTCATGCTATATTAGCTGTCAGGTAAAGACACAGTTATCTTTAATGACATTTCATCTATTGGCTATTCTTATAGTGATCTATAAATATTATATAATTCTAGTTGTTATGAGGAATAAACTTTCATGGTTACACAAATGCTATCATTTGTTCCGCTTATGGTTATTGCTCCTTGAAAACTAGTAGTTTCAATTGGCAATGTTCTTTGTAATTTATAGCTATTTTTTTGACAGTGGTCATCACTTTCTCAGGTCTAAGAATTTAGGGAACAACACCAGATTGTATATAGGTGTAATTGGCCTTCTCTTACTTCAGATATGTCTAAGGAAGAGGAGAAAGAAACTTAGTTTGGGTGTATGGAAATTGTTTCTACCACCAAGTATTTGATGCAGTTTTTAAAATTTCTTTTTCTAATAATTGGTGGAGGGGGAAATTGACCTTGAGACCACATTTTGTAGTTAGGGTGTAACTACTGTCAGGTTATTGCCTTGGCCACAACTTGTGTCTTTTCCAGGTTGTTGTAGTATAGATGACAAGGAGAAAAAATTTGTGATTATATTGCTCATACTTTGTATATTCAAAATGCCTTAGTTTGTCTTAAAAAAGTGGCCTCATTTATCTGAATGTTAGGCTTTATAATTTGCTATTTTCTAATAGTCTGGTGGATTCTGCAATTGCAGATCATGTTGTAGACTTCATATATTTGTCTTGCAGTTGCTAATTTATCTCATGGCCTCTGGTGATATATCAGATGATTTTTGTCATGAATACAACATTAGTTGCTCCTGCCTTAACCCCAATGCTTATATTGTTACAACATTAAGTGATAAATTACATTGGTTTACAATTACAGTTCTGTTGTCCTCAAGGGGAACTTGATATTACAACTGGAGCTATTAGGTTCAGATATTGGGGAGTTGGGGGGGGGGGGAACGGGTTTAGTTTATAAGAGGGAAGAGGGCTGTGTCTTTTTCTGTAGTCTCAAATGCAATGGTGTTCTTTATGTATAATAATAAAACGAAGGGAAACCAATACAATACTTGTTAGCCCGAGCTGTTTATAAAATTTTTTGTTGTTTAATGAGCCTCCTATCTTTGTCTTTATTTTTTTTCTTTAATTTTGTCTGCATTTGTTTTCCTTGTAGTAGGGATCATATTTATCAACTAGATTAAATTCATAACTCACGATAAGTGTAGCTTTGTTTCAAAAACTTTTAAAACTTGAATGTTGTAAGAAGATATAGGGGAACAATGCATGTTTAAACATGCAAGAATTGGCACAAAGAATTAGTCTTGATTATACAAATTGAAAAAAGTAATTCAAAGAAGGGAAAAAGAGTAATGTTTATTTTAAATGAATTTGGTTTAAAAGATTAAAGATACGAGCAACATTACATTTTTAAGTATATATTGGTTGGGGTTTTTGTGCACAGACTGAAGTTCTACTCTAGTTAAATTTCAAAATAGTTAACTCATCTCTCTTTATATAGCGCATGCTTGATATAGTTTGTGTACCTCCTTACAACTAATTTCTGCATTATATGTTGCCCACACAGGCACGCACATATAAATTTTGCATGCATATACAAGGACTATATAGAATTAGATTCGCTATTCCTTATTGAAATAATGAGCATAGTTATCTTATTGTGTTATTCCATTTATTTATCTTTTAAAAATATAATTGGTCTCATTGTGGCCATTCTTGAAGAATGACGTGTAAATGAATGCAGAATATCTTTATATTGAATTCTGTAGATATATGATTCATATGTTTTCTTTCTTATTTTGATCTTATTATTTGAGGATATCTCTCTCTGCTAAAATTTCTTGGTTGATATTTTGTCCTTATTTTTTCAGTATACAGATGAAGAGGTTGAACGGTGTTATGAGGAATTTTATGAGGATGTGCACACAGAATTCTTAAAATTTGGGGAAATTGTAAATTTCAAGGTTGAAAACTGCTCTTCCCGCCTGGCTAATGATGTCTATGATTTGCATTCAAGATGATCTATAAAATGAAGCATTCTGCAACTTGCTTTTCTTTTTTGAACATTATGTTATCGGGTATTTTTCCTGGGATTTTGGTTAATAAGTACAGTCAAAATCTAACCAGAAGCTGATAAATGTTTCCCTTTTCTTTTTTCTACTTGAATTTAACAACCTTTAGTCAGTTCTCAAGTTGATTGTGCAGGCTTGTTAGTTCTTCTCTTCTCTATGTTTCGGACTGGAGTTTCTTTTACTTTTTATTTACTTTTCTTTCTTTTTAGATTACAAATTGTGAGTCTTTATCAGGTGTGTAAAAATGGTTCATTCCATTTGAGGGGAAACGTGTACGTGCATTATAAGTTGTTAGAATCAGCTGTCCTTGCTTATGACTCGATCAATGGGCGATACTTTGCTGGCAAACAGGTAATTCATTCCCTTTAGATTTAACTAAATGCCATCGCTACTAGGGATTAGATAAGAAAACAGAAAATTTTAGTTCAGTCTTGGGTTTTGTTAATAGAAAATTGCATTAGTATGAATAGAAGTAATTTAGGTACCACTTTTGGTCACTTTTGCCACATGGCTTTCACTTCTAGAAGTGAAAAGGAAAAAGTGTTTTGGGTAGAAAAGCAAACATTGTATTTGAAGAATTAAAACTTATAAATGTAATTTCTAGGAGAACAAAATTTGTGTTTTTACTTTTATATAGAATAATATATGCGATTTGGTGTTGATTTTCAATTTGTTATGATTATGTATTCTACTCTTGCTTTGCTTTATAGTATTTTCTTGGAAAGCAAAATGCAAAAAGCAAGTAGTAAAAGCAATAACCAAACAAAGCCTCAACACTGGCACTATATATGTTTATTTTATGTTTTATAAAATTTTAAAACATACTTTTTTTAAGTCCATATAGGTTGGACCAAAATAATCACCAACTTTAAACACCCAAAATGGTTCGAAAGCTGAACCACAAGCTCAATTCGACTTTTGAAAATATTCAATTCAGTTTTGGGTCTTATATCTAAAGTAATATGTCAGTTAGATTCAAATGGGTTTTTGTTTTCGTTTTTGTTTTTTTTTTTTTTTTTTTGAAAAGGAAAACTAAACTAAATGTACTTTATTGGCCACTAAAAATATGAACTTTTAACCTTAATTTTTTACAATGAATAAGGGTGTGTAGTCAGCAGTCATTTGGCTGCTTGTGGAGTTATAATCCTATCCATGTCTCATTTTCTTATTTTCGAATTTGACAATATTGTCTGTATGTCTGTATAAGTGGTTGAGTGTTGTATTGAGTATAAGTCTATTGGACAACTGCACCTCCTAGTCTCACAGTCCAACCTAGCAACCTGGGCTAATAAAGCTTAAAATACATGTAGGTCAAATTTGTATTGGTCTCTACAATTGCTGATAAATGGTTTGTTTCACATTCTAATTTAACTGAGATATAAATTGTTTGCTCTGGTACAACCTATAAACTTAGATTGCTTACATTCTTTCTAGTTTTTCTTTCTCCTTTCTCATCCACTTCATGTTATTAGTTCATACACAAGAGCAGGTCCTAAATGGTAGTCAAGATGATTGAGATGTATCTACTATTTCTTTTGTTTATGTTGTTTTTTAGAACTAGTGAACTGCTGCTTGTAGAAATTTCTATCTCAAGAAAATGTCAAACTCAATAATATTTGGATTGGACATATAGATTTAGATAACATAGATGCAGATTATTGCCAAAGGAGCAACTAGGCAGTAAAATTGAGGCCAACTTTTTCTATCAATTAAGAAAATAGGTCTTAGATATGGAAGGTAGAAATTGTTAGTTGAATTATGTATAAGCTCACTGGATCATTTATTAGAGATAGATTAGATGATACTGCAATTTTTCTTCTTCTATAATGGACACTGATAGTTAAATGTGAATGGTGAAATGACTTTGTCTTGAATTAGTGGTTATTATATTTATGGCTTTCGTTTTTAATTGGTAAATCAATTTTGAATGAAAGTTTTATCTTGTCTAAAATATAGAATAAGTCCTTGTACTTAATTAATTTTCTCATCTAAGTCGCTATCCTCTTATTGCAATCAATTAAGCCTTTATTTGGATGGACAATGCCATGTAGGTTAACACTATTAACCTCTTTAACAATTGAGAAAAAGATTGCCACATGGCATTGATGAGGTGAAACAAATTTTGCCATGTGGCATGAAGAAGGTGAAATATATTTCATCATATGCGCATTCGTGAAAAAGAAAAAAGAAGAAGGAAAATTTATTTTATGTATTTGGCACATATCTATTAATTTCATGTTTATTTCTTGTCATCATTGCCACATGGCAATCTTATCTCAGTTGGCAAAATGGAATAGGATGTTAATCCACATAACATTTCCATCCAAATAAGAGCTTAGTTGGATATAAATAATAATTAAGGGGCTCAAGAGATTGTAATAAAAGGATAGGGGATCAGATGATTAATTTAATTAAGTATAGGGGCTTTTTTTATTTTCCATTATTGGTTGACTTACTTCAATGCTGGCATTGGATAGATAGTTGTTCTATTAGAAGAAGTTTATTGCCTTTTTCTTGCAAACTTATTCTCTTGCATACATGGAACATGGAACAGACAATCTTTTGCAACAAATGAAAAAAAAGTAATATGGGAATCATTACTCTTATGCTGTATTTATAAACCACAAATGAAATATTTGCTTGCAATCATATTTGATTGTGAGAGCTATTATGCATGACCACTACATTCTTGTCCAGAGCTGCAGATATGCATGGCCAGCTGTTAAGAATATAAAACCAATTACCATATCCATGGGTCTATTTTGGTTTTTTGGTTTCTTAAATTCTTTTTTTTTTTGCTTAATTTTTTAAGCTTTCTTTTCTGGGTGATGGGTTCATGATAGGTACAATGTGAGTTTGTCAACATTACCAGATGGAAGGTTGCCATTTGTGGGGAATTTATGAAGTCAAGATTCAAGGTACTTCCAGCTTCCTCATCTCATGTAACACTAGTGAGATTATTTTCTTCATTGGTTTTTATCATTTGCCTCTGTGCATGATGTGTTGGATTGAGATATCGGGAAATTGAAAAAGAAAAAGACCATCAAAATCATTGTGTTTTTTTATTGATGCTAATCTGAAAGTGTTTTCTCTTCAATTTATGATCTGTTTTGTCTCATATTAACAGACATGTTCTCATGGAACCGCCTGCAATTTTATTCACTGTTTCCGGAACCCTGGTGGAGACTATGAATGGGCAGATTTGGACAAACCACCCCCAAGATATTGGGTGAAAAAGATGGCTGCTTTATTTGGATATGCTGATGAGGCTGTGTTTGAGAAACAGACAGAGCAAGAGCATTCAGGGCATTCAAGGACTAGCCGGATGGTAAAATTAGATGATGGCAGGTATGCATTTTTAATTGAAGTCGTAAGTCATAACTGCTACTTTAGTTTTGTATGTTACCTATTTTTTGTGTTGATCTTGTCTATTACTAATGAAAATTCTTACATATTAATTGTAGTAAAATGTTTGGATTTTCCTCTTTGTGTGCTTCTGGTTTATTTTACTTCTTTATGTTTAAATTCAAAGTCCATTTTCCTACATCTGTTCTGGATTTTTCTTTTTCTTATTAATATCTAATTTTTGGTAGGCACTACTCTAGAAGATCAAAATCCAGGGAGAAGGTTCGTTTTATTGATGGTGCTCAGGAGAGCAAACACAGTCAAAGGGGCATGAATAATGACAGAAAACAAAGAAAAATTTTAGATGGAAGATGGGACGGACAGAACACAAGTTTAAAATGGGATCAAAACAGTGAGAGAAGCCATGATACCAGTTCTGATGGTGGTTGTTTAGACAGTCAAATGGGCAAGAATAATGACAGAAAACAAACAAAAATTTTAGATGAAAGATTGGATAGACAGAGCAAAAGTTTAAAACGGGGTCAAAATAGTGAGAGAATCCATGATACCAGTTCTGATGGAGGTTATTCAGAGAGCGACATAAATGGCACTAGAGATACTGATCAAGTTAGACGCCATTGTCATGCAAAGAAAAACTCAAAACGGCAGAATGAATCATCAGAATACTTGGCTGACCATAAGAACATCGAGAACAGAGTCTATGAAGACACAGAAAATCTCCATGGTCATACCAAGAAAAGGAGAAGGCATTGTAGCAAAGTGGGATACCCAGATGACGATGGAGGCAGTGATATCCAAACTCATAAAGACAATGGAGATCAGTTGAATAGGGACAGAGACAATGAAAAACACTGCAGCCACGGAGGGAAAAGCTCAAGACACCATATCAAAGAATCACCCCTGGATGATTTGGGGGCCAGCAAGAACAGAACTAATGTTGGAGATTCACTACTAAAGCAGTCGAGTAGAGTCAGTGACAGAGAAGGCCGTCATCATGATAGACAGAAAAGCTTAGGGAACCTTGACCAAGTTTCAGGACTCCTAGATGATCACGGCAAAGCTTATGGGACTAGTGATAGTAATTCTAGTGATCATGGGTCTGAGAGGGACAAAAGGAGGCATCATGGCCATCGAAGGAAGCGCTCAAGACACGTAGTTGAATGTTCAGAATTCCCAGATGCTTCAGGCCATCAAGCAAAGAAATTAAAAGGAAAACGAGACCTAAAAAGATACAGGCACTCAACACACAGGTATGAGACTGATTCTTCTGAAGACTACGAGATGAAACATAATGTAAAACGTAGATCACATGGTCACAAAAGGCATGATGAGAAAAAGCCAAATAGGGATTCCTAAATTCTAGCACCTAGGACTACAAAGCTTCTAATCTTAGAATTTTCATGAATTGGCTATACTGTCTGAGTGCACAACCCGGATGTGTTGTCAATCTGAATGATGCAACTTAGAACATATAGCAGGGGTGAAAAACTTAAACAGCGTAGTGGAAGCAATGTAAAAAGAGCAGAGCGGTTAGCTGGACAGGGCCTTGCAGTATGGCATCCAATATGTGAATGTTTCTGTATTTACCCTTGTTTGTGGTAGCATAGTTATGCTCCTGACTACTTGGTGAGAATGAGTATAGTTTTTGGTCTGGCTTGCTTTACCGAATTGGCATAGTTTTTATATTCACTGGTAAAATCCATGAGCTTCCTTGTGAAAGGTGCAATTTTTCTTTTTGATAAAATATAAATTACTATAATAAATTTTAATTCAATGATTTATTTTTCAAATTGTTGCCAATTACACTATTTTCAAAAAGATATATAACGAAGGTAAAGTAAAAAACACAGAAGAAAAAAAAGTAAAATCAAGAAAATTAGACTTACTTTTGATAAACTAAAAAAAAGGAAAATCAATATAGAAAAGTCAAGTCTACTTCGGAAAAAATTAATTAAAAAATTCTATTTAATAAAAATTGTTCGATATTTTATTGAAAATTTAATATTAAATTGACGTTTTTATTGATTATTTTTCAAGTAGTTTACATAAATAAAAGTTATAGAAGAAAATTAAAGAATTAAAAAGAAGATTTTAAGATTAATATAATTAAATAATATAATTTTTTTCATAAATAAGATTTATTGAATACATTAGTTAGCTTTTAATTACTTAAAATTTTCTATATTTTTTATTAAAAATCTTGTTTGGAGGCATTTTAAAAATCTTTTTCTTTTATTACTTTATATAGTTTTTAAAATGAGTTATCACATGCTTTAAAAAAATTAAATTTTTGAAAATTTTATTTTCATCTTATAATTACTAAATTTGAATGATTTATCAAGCAAAATTAAAATATAATTTGTTTTCTTCCCTTTTTACTTTCTATTATTCTTTTTTTATTTAATTAAAATGGACAACCTCTTTTAGTCAACATGGAAAACAAAATTTTGCAGAATAAATGTCTATTGTTGGCAATAATTTTCCCAAATGATAATCATTTTCATACAAAATGTTTTTGGAAAACTGATAAAAAAGGAAATTAAAAATTATAACTTTTCTTTCTTACATTAATTTATAAATTTTAAATATGAAATATCTATCTATAAAATTAAAAAGAGATTGCATGAAATAATTACGCGACATGAGCATATAAAATTTTTATTCAAATCATATCACATAATTATATTATAAAAAAATTAATTATTTATTACATATGATTAAATAATAAATATTTATTTTAATAAATTAATTAATTATTTTATAATAAATAATTAATTTTTTATAATAATATGATTATTTGACATGAAAAAAATATTTGTTGATGTGACGTAACTATTTTATATAGGTAATTTTTTTTGTCATAAAAAAACTTAAATAACTCAAAAGATAGCACGATGGCCGCATCATATGTTAGTGTCACAGATCACGTACAAGTCTTAAATCAAGTGAGTCACGTTTCCCACTTAAAGCCGCACGGTAGTTAGGTTTTCCCGACCCGTAACAATAGCAAAGGCTTAATAAAGTCGGGAGGATACTGAAACGAAATAAAGGAGTTTTCATTACATTCATTTTCAGCTAAACTGTTGCTGCCAAAACAAGCCAGAGCGCTAGCACATTGATTTCTCTCCCGAAACATATGCATGATTTGCTTGCAGTTAAACTCTCTCAGAAGTTTTATGCAATCATAAACTAAAGGTTGCGGAGTATGGTTAGGGACAAAAGGATTTTTAATCAAAGAAATAACAACCACATTGTTAGGTTCAACTTCAAGCTTAGTGACATTGGGTTGTTTGGCTAGGATAAGGCCATCTCTAAGTTCCCAAAGCTCAGTGAGGATATTTGTACTATTGCCTATGAATCCGGCAGATCCAACAATCCATTGCCTTTCATGGTTCCTAATAATGGCCTAAACCTAAGCTTTATTATATTTTCAAATGCCTTAAAAACTATTATCATAGACACTTAATCTCCACTTGAAACCACCATCACCAACCAAAAAATCCCATTTGTTTCTTGCAAAAAAATAAACTAAAAAAAAAATCTCACAAACAACAACCAAAGGCCACAATCAACACACAAGCTATCCATGAATTTCATGGTCCAAGAAACTCTAATAAACACATCTTTCTCAAAAAAAAAAAAAAAACCTTTATAACGAAAGAAAGTTGGACAACGTAAAGGAATTCCATTCCGCCTATCCAAACATGAGAGAGAAAAGCACATATTATAAAGTCGAGCATATCTACTGTGACCATCACGCGAGATGGAAACCAAGAAAAGAACAATTTCCTACTTTTATGTTCTAAAATATATGTGATTTTCGATTCAGTAAAGTATTTGTAGTTTCCTTTCCTTTCCTTATCGGTTCTCAGACTATATAGAAATCGACGTCCGGCACAAACATAGCTCAACTACCTTCTTTCATTCTCAAAGGCTTGATCGGAGTCAAATCCCAAAACGAAGATGGAATTTGACATGGAAACTGTGGCGGCATCGGTCGGGGTATCGGTGCCGGTGCTTCGGTTCCTTTTGTGTTTCGTGGCGACGATACCGGTCGGTTTTCTATGGCGACTTGTTCCAGGTAGACTAGCTAAGCACGTTTACTCAGCCTTTTCAGGAGCGTTGCTTTCCTATCTGTCATTTGGGTTCTCTTCGAATCTGCATTTCTTTGTGCCCATGTTGTTGGGTTATGCTGCAATGGTTCTTTATCGGCCAAAGTGTGGGATTATCACATTTTTCTTGGCTTTCGGTTATTTAATTGGCTGGTAAGTATTTTTTTTATTGATTTTTCTTTTATAAATTTTCACTTGAAAGTTTTCTTATATTCGTCCTTTTTTTTTTCTTTCAAGTTTTGGTTTTGTAATTCTATAAATATAATTCTATTTTATTATCCAAAATAATACGTAGAAAATCTTTAGGAACTCAATCAGCTTGATTTCTTTTTTATTTTTCTTTTCTAATAATAAAATATGGAAAGTTAGATAAAGAATGTATATGTAATGCTGAATGGTGAAAAAAAGTTAAATTTAGTGTGCTTAATTAGGATTCAGTTTTACTGAAATGGATGTCTTAGGGGCTAACTGATAATTTCATCTTAGGATAAAAACTAAAGGTTTAGGATGAGAGTTTCTTCTTGTTGGGAGTGAATTCTCCTTGCATAAATGAGAAAAATTATGATGGATGGGAGTAGATTCAGCAATTCGTGTATCCATGTCAATCTATTTTGTGTCTAATATGTGTAAAACACAGAAAATTCCTGTGTCACAATTCGTGTGACACACCAAACACCAAACATATTTTTTAGTTTTTACCAAACTCATACGGTTTTTGATAAAAGTTTAAATCATGTCGCTTTCGTATCTTTTTTTCATATCTTTTTTGTATTGTATTATCATGTCGTGTTTAAAATTATCAAGTCTAGATGATAGTTTATAAAGTAATATGAAGATTGTGAAATTTAAGTCTTATTAAAATGGTGAAATCCATTGGCAATTTGGAAATTTTGCGGCCAAAACATTATACTTTGGCCTTGCCTGCAGGGTCTTCATGCCAAATTGACTGACATGATTTCATGATTTTCTTTTCGAATACTTTAGTAAATGCGTGTACGTATTTCATTCCTTTACCATCTAAGATTATTGATGGTTTGACCCATGCTGAAACTTTGTGGGAAGAGTATTGCTTATGAAACACTTTACTTTTTTTTTTACATTCTCTTTTTCTAATTTCAGTGAAGGTTTGGTTTCTCAGTAATTTCCTTATCTCTCTCTCTCTCTCTCTCTCTATTTTTGGGTGGGAGGGGCGTAGGATAATTTTCTATCGAAGTTTGTTTGAAATTCTTCTTGATGCATGAATGATGATTCAGTATTTGTAAATAATACTTTGTTATTTCAGAATCCTTGACTATTCTCATATGTTTGTAGCCATGTATATTACATGAGTGGGGATGCATGGAAGGAAGGAGGCATTGATGCCACTGGTAAGCATGTTTGGAATTTCTCCTTCACGTGTGAGAAGTTGTTTATTGATATTTGTGGATCGAAATACCAAATCTGTTCCCACCTTGACCTTTAATTGATTTCACTGCATTTCCATTATGCACATTATCATTCAAAGATTTTCTGTAGTTTTCTCGTAAGTGCTCAAGCGAATGCTTCCGTAGTACTTTATACATTCCAAGTAATTGTGGCGCACTATCTTATGATATTTAGGAGCGTTGATGGTGTTGACACTGAAAGTCATTTCATGTGCAATAAATTACAATGATGGGTTGTTGAATGAGGAAGAGTTACGTGAGGTTCAGAAGAAATATCGGTTGATTGAGTTGCCTTCATTGATTGAATATTTTGGGTACTGCCTCTGCTGTGGTAGTCACTTTGTTGGTCCAGTTTATGAGATGAAGGACTACCTTGACTGGACTGAAAGGAAAGGGGTATGTTTATTGTTGTTTGTGCACCTGCATGCCTTTTCTACTCTAAAGTTACTAGCATGCAGCTTTAATAATCTTGTTACTCTTTTTCCTTTTGAAGATTTGGGCTCATTCAGATAAAGGACCATCACCTTATGGAGCAACTTTCCGAGCACTTATACAAGCTGCTTTTTGCATGGCATTGTATCTTTACCTTTTACTGTATTATCCCTTGTCACGGTTTACTGAACCCATATACCAAGAATGGGGATTCTGGAGGAAGTTGACTTACCAGTATATGTCTAGCTTTACAGCACGGTGGAAATATTATTTCATCTGGTCAATTTCTGAGGCCACTATTATTATATCTGGCCTTGGTTTCAGTGGATGGACAGAATCTTCACCACCTAAACCAAAATGGGATCGTGCGAAGAATGTTGACATCCTAGGAGTTGAGTTAGCAAAGAGTTCAGTGGCGTTACCACTGGTCTGGAACATACAAGTCAGCACCTGGCTTCGTCACTGTGAGTCTTTCTAGCCGCTATTATTTTCTGTGTTCCAATTGTTAGTTTTGCTTAAATATGATGTTGGTGTGTGTGCACGTATATTCCTTACAATCTAGACAACTTTTGGAATTGGTTTCTGATTCAACTTTGTTTGATCCTCTGGCTTAAAAATTGTTTTTTTGTAGGATTCTTAATGCTTGGTGCAGTCCAATGGTAAATTTTTTTGTCAAAATCTCCTTTAAAAATTAAATTTTATGTATAATGAGTCAAAAACATGTCAGAAGGAAAATCAATTCGTTAATAGTTTTTATACATTGGATTGCAGTATGGTATGACTTTCTGGCTTTTTAAAGCAACAGCAGTTACTTTAGTTTTATTAGCATCAACTATCTCATGGATATATGGGACAACATTGACGCAAATAGAGGAAAAGTCATAACATATCTTAAGTTATAAAATAAACTAATTTTCTGTTGGTGCAGATGTTTATGAGAGACTTATTACGAAGGGGAAGAAACCTGGTTTTTTCCAGTTGCTGGCCACACAGACTGTCAGTGCTGTTTGGCATGTGAGTCATTTTACTTTGCTGAAAACCTCTATGACGATCACAACACTTCTCACCTTTTTTTCTACAAAACATTCCTATAAAAAAATTGATCATTTTTCTCGTTTGTTTAACCTTTTTTTCTTCTCGCCTTTTCTCATTGTTATAGGGACTGTATCCTGGGTACATCATATTCTTTGTTCAGTCAGCTCTGATAATTGCTGGTTCAAGAGGTACTGATATGGGCATCCTTATTGTTATTGGGATCTATTTATTAGTATTTTTATTTGTTTACCTTTCCCACTTTCTTTCTGAGCAGTTATTTACCGGTGGGAACAAGCTATACCTAGGAATATGGCTCTCGTGAAGAAAGCACTTGTCTTCATGAACTTTGCTTACACACTTTTGGTTCTGAACTACTCTGCTATTGGTTTTTTGGTTAGTCTCTCTCTCTCTCTCTGAGTTTAAACCATCAGTTACTTGAGGCTGAAATATATATAATTTTTGGGTGATGATATATGCATCCGCATCCAATCAAGCCATCCATCAGCCAACTGATGGATGGATGGTGTTGGATGGTCAAGAGGAATGAATAAATTGTTGGGGAGAATAACCATACTTGGAGCCTATGGCAGCACCCCAAAGGAGCCCATAAATACATGTTGGACACCACTTAGAGCCCAAAAGCTTAAGCTCTTGGGTCCTTCATGTGTATATGCCACCTTTCCATCCAATATCTTAATGATATGAGATTTTTTTAATCACATGTGAACCACCTCAACAATCTTCCTGTTCACTTGTGAGTTTTGATCGACTCCCTAAGCGAGTAAATCTTTATCAACGTACCCTTATTATGCCAAGCAACCCGCATCTCCCATGCATAATCTTGCACTCAATCACATGTCTAGATTGCCTCAGTGCCCCTAAGCTTGTACACAATCACACATCCAAATAGTCTCTGTGCCCTTCAAGCTTGCACGCAATCACAGGTTGTCTGAATATGTATTACCATACACAGTGTGTTGAAGTCAAACCTTTTGCTTTTATGCCAGTTGCTGGGGAGAATAACCACATTTGGAGCTTATGAGAACACACCAAAGGAGTCCATACATAAATGTTGGACACCACTTGAGCCCAAAAGCTTAAGCTATTGGGTTCTTGGGTCCTTCATGTATATATGTCACTTTTCCATCTCATTCTTTAGTGATGTGAAATTATTTTACTCACATGTGAACCACCTCAATATAAATATATCATTTTCCATAATTTTGTAGTTTTTAATATGCTTTTCTTCTTGTATGGTACAGGTATTAAGCTTGCATGAGTCGCTTGCCTTGTTCAGGAGTGTATATTATATTGGAACCATCCTTCCAATAGCATTGATTCTGCTTGGTTACATAATACCTGCAAAGCCTGCCCGATCTAAAGCTCGTAAAGAACAGTGAGGCTAAAGCCATACTTTTTTCCCTTTGGAGTGAGATTTTTAACGTTTGTTCTAACCACTGGAATTTTCTACCATGTTTTAATCTTATTTAATCTTAGGTTTTGGCATAAATTTTGTATGGAACAACCACTTCTTAAGTCATTTGTGGAATGCCTACTGATTTTTGTTCATCTTTTTCCAGTTCTATATTCTCACGACTAGATGAATTGGAGACAATTATGAATCAATATTTGTGGCCGAAGCTTTCTGGTGTTAATATCCAATATTTGTATTTGAGTTTGGACGGGTTGTGTGTGTTTTTGGGGTTCAAGTAAGTTTTATTAGTTATAAGCGGAAGTTTTTGTTTTACCGTGTTTCTTGCGTGTGGTGCGATTTTTCCAGCTTTTCTTTTGGATTTGGGGTCGCCATGGCGATGGTATTGCTTTCCAAATCGCAAATTCGATCGGCAAATGTTCTGATCCTACCTAAACGCTGACAAGCCAGAATTAGAGTGTAGGTATCTAGTTATTTATCAGTATTAGAGATATAATCGAGTCGAATTAAATTGATACGGTAAAAATTTTAAATTTAATTTAAAATTTATTATTTAAAATTTAATTTGAGTGCGATTAATTCGAGATAAAAATAAAATTATTTGATTTGGTTCAATTTTATTTGTTTATTAAATAAAAAATAAACTTGATTATCATGCTCAATTTCAAGTTTAATTATTTGAATTCAAATTTGAGTTAGAGTTTAAATCGATATATAAAGATAAAATAATAAAATTATATATTAAAATATAAAAATTCAATTACGATTGTAAACTATTCAAGTTTGATATTAAAATATTTGAATTCGGCTCATTCAATAAGTGAAATAACTTGAGTTTGGTTTGACAATAATTTAGTCAAATTCAAAATTTATTTGAATTAAACTCGAGTTATTTACAAATATTAATATATAATTTATATCTTTAATAAAAAAACTTGAAAAATATGTTATGAGAAATGGGATTGATATATAATAAATCTATAATTGAGAACTTAGTGTTTACTAACAATTAAAGATGAGACTAGATTGTTTTGTAAGGATATTTATTTTAATCTGATTAGTTTTAAATAATAACATATGACGAATAAATAATTTTTTAAGTGTCACATTATTTAACAAATTAATAGTTCAAGTATCACATTAAAGATTTTTAAAATTTAAGTATCACGTAAATATTTCATTATAATTTATAAGTCATTTATGATATTAATTCTTATAAACAACGTTAATAAGTTTATTGAAATAAAATATTTATTATTTAATTATCGCAAGTGATGTATAATAAAAAAGTTTATTTTTATGATGATGATGATGTAATTATTCAAAATGTATATACTAACTAGGAGTAACCTTTTTATACATTTTTTTTAACTAAAGATGAGCTTAAAATATTTAACACATACTTGAATTGATAATAAAGCATTGGTTTAGTAAAAAGAAGGAGCCTTTAGAAGCTTGGGATCTTAAGTTCAAGTTTCATTATGCATAAATTTGATTATTTAATTAAATTATAATTTATTAATTGATTATGAATGTAACTTAAAAAAAAAACATATACTTTAATTATAGCTCAATTGTCATTTCAATTAAATATAATTTTAAAACTAATTAATTTTCTTTATTAAAAAAAGTTTTGATTAAAAGAAAATTTTAAAAAAGAAAAAGTAATTAAATTAAAAAATGATTAAGAATTTACAAATGATATATTTATCTTTTTATTTAAAATTAATTTTGCAAATAATATTTGGAGGAGTTAGTGTTTTTTTTTTTTTTTTTGTTGACAAATCTCAAGAGGTAATAAGATACTTTTCAAAATAAAAAGGTAAGTGTATATATTATTTTGATGAAATAGGTAAGTATATTTTTTACCCTTTCTGTCTTAATTTATTTGTCTTGTATTGATTTTTATGAAATTTAAAATTTTTTTATTTTAATGTATTTGATATTAAAATTAAAATTTCATGAATTTTAATGTTAAAAATAAAAAAATTTTAAAATATAAAAAGTAAGAATTTTAAATATTAAAAAAAGATATAATTTTAAAAATTTTCAAAAAAAAAAAAGAGATAGAGAGAGTATCAAACTTCAACGGCTAATTATACTTTCTAAATTGTAAGAACTTTGCAAGACAAGAAGCCATTTAGTCCGATTACTTTACAATGGAAGGAGCTTGCATCAAGGGCTTGAGAATATAATATAACAAATATTTATAGTGAAGCTAACAGATATGCTGATATTCTTGTAAATTTGGCCGGACAGTGTAGTTGGGATTCTCGTCAGTGAAACAATCCCAAATACAAAGAGTGAGATGTATGCAGGAAGATTAATTGAGTGTTACAAGAATGTGATATCCTGTGAATTAGCATATTCTGATATGCTTTTATGTGAAAAAATATATATATATTTTAAATATCAATAAGTAGTTGATTCAATTTGTTAAAATTTATTTTTTTTTGATGAAGATGTATTGAGTTTGAGTTTTATCGATGATCACTTATTGCGGTCATCTCGAATGCACGATTTGTAACTATTTATTTTAAGCTGTCAGGTACGATACATCTTATCCTGAAAGACTGAGCATACTATCTATTCTCATATTTCTTTCTTACCAAATATATATATATATATATATATATACATTTTAAATATAAAGGTTTTTATAAGTTTGGCCATAAAAAATTCATAAAATGTTCAACATGATTTGTAAAAAAATCCCTTTTTTTACAATAATAGAAATTTTCACAAGCAATATTTTTTTTAATATACTTTTAAAATATATATATATATATATATTAAACTTCAAATTTAATTTTGAATTTAAAAATTTTATTGAAATTGTATACAATAATATTATTTTTAAAAATAGTAAATCAATTAAATAATTAATTTATTATAATAAAAATAGCAAATTAAATTATTATTTAATATACTATCAATATAAAATTTTAATTATATAAATAAAATTAAAAAATAAATACATATCTCATTATTTTTAAATAATTTATTTTATTTTTTAAATATACTCTAAATATATGCTACTCTCTTAATTATTTACCAAGTCTTAAAAATTTTAATAATAAAATAATTTTTATTTGAAATTACTAACATCTAAAATATAAATAATACATTAATAATTACAAATTATTTAAATTCAATTTAAATAAAATTTAAATTTATTTTAATTATTATTTAATTAAACTTAAATTCGAGTAATTTAATTTATTAAACAACTCAAATTCAAATATTTTAATACTCAATTCAAATAATTTACAAAAATAACCAAAATTTTAAATTTTAATATATTTTTATTATTTTAATTAAAAATTATTTATATATATATATATATATATATATCAATTCTTTCAACCCAAATTCAAACAAATAATCAAAATTAAAATTCAACGTAAAAATCAAACTATTTTTATTTAACAAATCTAATCAAATAAATTTAAATATTTTAAATTTAATTTTACATGCTACTCTTTTTTATTTAAAATTTAATTTTAAAATTTTGATTTTGATTTGATTTGATTGCACACCTGCCTACATTTTGCTTCACTTTTCCCCGTCATGAATGGAATTAAAACCCAGTGGGCTCGATAATTTCAAGGCAACCTTCAAACCCATTGTTTTCCATTTTTGTTGGACGTCATTACACGCATATTTAAAGCGCGTGTCCATCAAGAATCCCAACGGCGGTCCGTCGAGAATCCCAACCTTGGTATCGTATTAAACAATGTTCTCCGCTCAATATCACCACAAAGCCGAAAGACAAATAACGCTCTTTCTTATTGTATACAATCATTGTTGAAACGTTTACAAATATATCAAGCACATCTACGTTGACCACAGCCACGAGGGACGGAAAGCACGGAAGGACAGTTTAGTCCTTTCATTCTCAGTTCTCACAGAATGTAAAGTCAACGTCCGCGCCCTAAGATAACTGACCTGAACTCCTTTGTTTCAGATTCAAAGTCTCGGTCAGAGTCAAATACCAAAACGAAGATGGAACTTGATATGGAAGCTATGGCGGCATCGGTCGGGGTATCGGTTCCGGTGATTCGGTTCCTTTTGTGTTTAGTGGCGACGATACCGGTGGGTTTTCTATGGCGACTTGTTCCAGGTCGACTAGCTAAGCACGTTTACTCGGCCTTTTCAGGAACGTTGCTTTCTTATCTGTCTTTTGGGTTCTCTTCAAATCTGCATTTCTTGGTGCCCATGTTGTTGGGTTATGCTGCAATGGTTCTTTATCGGCCCAAGTGTGGGATTATCACATTTTTCTTGGCTCTCGGTTATTTGATTGGCTGGTAAGTATTCTTTTTATTGATTTTTCTTTTATAAATTTTCTTCTGAAAGTTTCATCGTTAGATTTGTTGTTCTTTTATTATCCAAAAAAAAATCTAGAACAATTGAAACGCATGATTTTTTTTTTTTTTTGGGTTTTGCTTTTCTAATAATCAAAAAATGGAAAGTTAGATAAAGAATGGACATTTAATGCTGAGCTTAGCAGATGATACGAGCTGAATGGTGAAAAAAAGTTCAATTTAGTGTGCTTAATTAGGATTCAGTCTCAGTTTAACTGAAATGCATGCTTGGGCTTGGCGGCTAACTGTTAGTTTCTTCCTAGAACAAAAATCAAAGGTTTAGGAAGGGTATTTTGTGTTGGGAAGGACAAAAACTAAATGCGAAAAATCATGATGAATGAGAGTTTATACGATAATATGAAGATTATGAAATTTAAATCTTATTAAAATGGTGAAAAGAAAAGGATTCAATTGGCAGGTCTGTCACGGTGTTGTGGCCGCTATTTTGTGGTTTTGACACCATCCGCCACCCGATATTGGGGTGTGAATGAGATTGACGCCCACAATGGCGTGTCACGGCTGCAAAATAACAGTGTTACGGGTAATAGCAGCTATAACAGCCCGCTACAGTAGGAACTACGGACTTCCACCTAAATCATAACATAAAAAACCAGCTTTTTTAATCAATCATCAGAACTTCAAACGAAAAATAATCCAGAACAAGAAGGAAATCCGAGGTCAACAACAACTCATTGAAAAATCAGCAAATATAAGCTTCAATCAAGATCAAACAACAAATTGTTGAAGTTAAATAAGAACATAAGAAAAAATAAAATAAAATTACCATTTTTTTTAATTTTTATAAATTTGTGTTGCCAATGACTTGATTTGGAAGAATAGACCGAGCTTTTGAGTTCAAATTTCAAACATATATCCATGGCCACTCCACCTCATATCTTGAAAAACAAAGGAAGGAAAATATCCTCTTAACTATCAAGATGGGAGGGTGAGGGCAGGGGTTCAATGATGGCATGCTTAACCGCTTGGGTTGAGGAAGAAGGAAGCAATGGCGCTGATGGAACTTGAAAAAAGGGAGGAGAGAGAGAGAGAGGAGTCATGGATGATGGATGAGTGAGGTCTGGTCATGGTGGATTTTGAGAGAAAAAGATGGAGGTTTGGCATGGGTGATGGGTGAGTGAGTTTGAGAGTCAAGAGGTTTGGCTCATGAGTTTTGAGATAAATTTTTGGATGTGGGAAGGTTTGGGCTCAGCCCAGCTAATCAATTAAAGTATATATTTTTTTTTTTAGCATAAAATTGAGTTGAGAAATTTTAGAGGGAAAAGTATATTAGATAAATAGAAAAATTTTGGAAATTATTTTTTATGATTTAGATAGTAATTTGGGAGGGAAGGGTAATTTAGAGGAAAAGATAACTGATGCTAAATGATTAGTATATTTATTTATAATAAGTTTACATTTTCATTTTTAAATTTTATTAATTCTTTTTCTTTTGAAGTTGGTATTGTTGTTCTTTTTCTTTTTGTATTAGATTAATTTGATTTGAGTAGTATTATTTTTAACTATTTTATTTGAGTAGCATTATTTTTAACTTACTTGTAACAATGAGAATGCCTTCCATTATATAATAAATTTGAAAATAATTTGTGGGAAAGATTTTAAATTAATTAATGCATCAAAAAATTAAATTATGTACTAAAATTAGCATTTTATAATATATTAGCATTAAAAATTAAATTTTTAAAATTTTAAAGTAAGTTTAATTTTTAATGATAAACTAATTAACATAATCCTTTAGAATAGATTAAAATTAAAAAAAAAAATTTATTTTGCTTTTACATATTATAAATTGTAAGCACATTCTAGTTTATTGATTTTTTTCTTACACAATTCTAATTTTAATTGTGTTTATAAGTTTATTTTGTTTTACTTTTACACACACCAATAGTTCCTTTCTAAGTGCATTCAATTTATTTTCATATAGAAATTCATGGATATAAGAATGAATAATTTTCTAAATATTTATATTTTAGTATAATGTCTAAATATTGTAAATTCATTTTCTCATATAAGTAAAGGAACATGGGAGTTCATAAATTGCTTTATAAATCATAAAATAAGAGCTTTTAATTATAATTATAATTATTATATTTTATAGGAAATTATTCAAAATTTTAAAAATTTCACTATTACGATGATTGTAATGACTACGATTGAATTCGTTATATTCGCAACCGCGATAAACATAACGGAATCGAAAATGCGTCTGCAATGGCAATTTAAATCCCCGGTGAAGTTCATTGACAATTTGGAAGTCTTGCAGCCAAAACCATTATGCTTTGGCATTGCGTGTGGCATCTTTCATGCCAAATTGACTGACAAGATTCATGTTTGTCTTTTTGAATACTTTAGTAAATGCATGTACATATTTCATTCCTTTACCATTTAAGATTATTGATGGTTTGACCCTATGCTGAAACTTTGTGAGAAGAGTATTGCGTACGCAACACTTTACTGATTCCTTTTTTTTTTTTTACATTCTCTTTTTCTAATTTCAGTGAAGGTTTGGTTTCTTAGTAATTTCCTTATCTCTCTCTATTTTTGGGTGTGAGGTGGCAGATAACTTAATATTTGATTATCTATTGAAGTTTGTTGAAATTCTTTTTGATGCATGCTTGATAATTCAGTATTTGTAAATAATACTTTGTTGTTTCAGAATTCTTGACTATTCTTATACATTTGTAGCCATGTATATTACATGAGCGGGGATGCATGGAAGGAAGGAGGCATCGATGCCACCGGTAAGCATGTTTGGAATTTCTGTTTCTCATTTGAGAAATTGTTCTTTAAAATTTGATTATTAGGTTTGAAATTGAAACAAATTGTAAATGTGCAATGCTTCAGTGAAATTTATAAATTAGGTAAACCTTCATATTGCTGCTTTGAATTGTGATGAACTTCAACCCTTAGATTATTGATATTTGTGGATTGAAATACCAAATCTGTTCCCACCTTGACCTTTAATTGATTTCATTGCATTTTCATTATGCACATTATTATTCAAAGATTTTCTGTAGTTTTCTCGTGAGTGCTCAAGAGAATGCTTCCGTAGTACTTTATACATGCCAGTTAATTGTGGAGCACTATCTTATGCTGTTTAGGAGCATTGATGGTGTTGACACTGAAAGTCATTTCTTGTGCAATAAATTACAATGATGGATTGTTGAAAGACGAAGAGTTACGTGAGGCTCAGAAGAAATATCGGTTGATTAAGTTGCCTTCATTGATTGAATATGTTGGGTACTGCCTCTGCTGTGGCAGTCACTTTGTTGGTCCAGTTTATGAGATGAAGGACTACCTTGACTGGACTGAAGGGAAGGGGGTAGGTTCATTATGTTGTTTGTGCAACAGCATACCTTTTCTACTCTGAAGTTACTAGTCAGCTTTGATAATCTTGTTACTCTTTTTCCATTTCAAGATTTGGGCTTATTCAGATAAAGGACCATCACCGTCACCTTATGGGGCAACTTTCCGAGCGCTTGTACAAACTGCTTTTTGCATGGCATTGTATGTTTACCTTGTACCGTATCATCCCTTGTCACGGTTTACTGAACCCATATACCGAGAATGGGGATTCTGGAGGAAGTTGAGTTACCAGTATATGTCTGGCTTTACGGCACGGTGGAAATATTATTTCATCTGGTCAATTTCAGAGGCCGCCATTATTATATCTGGCCTTGGTTTCAGTGGATGGACAGAATCTTCCCCACCTAAACCAAAATGGGATCGTGCGAAGAATGTTGACATCCTAGGAGTTGAGTTAGCAAAGAGTTCAGTGGTGTTACCACTTGTCTGGAACATACAAGTCAGCACCTGGCTTCGTTACTGTGAGTCTTTCTTGCCACTATTCTTTTATGTGTTTCATCTATTAGTTTTGCTTAAATATGATGTTGGCATGTGTGTGTGTGTGTGTATATATATATGTATTAGAAGAAATCAACTTACATAGTGTAAAACTCAAAAAGTTTTACACATTTTTCTAATTTTTTATTTTAGTAAGTCCAAAAGATGAGAGAGACAAGTAAAAATAAGAAAAAAATGGTCTAGTCTCATCTTTTGAATTTATTGAAATTAATGGTTAAAAAAGTGTAAAACAAAAAAAAATTTTACATTGTGTAAAGTTGATATATATTCCTTAAAATCTAGACAACTTTTGGAATTGGTTTCGAACTCAACTTTGTTTGATCCTGTGGCTTAATATATAATTTTTTTATTTATTTTTGTTTTGAGGATTCTTGATGCTTGGTGCAGTCCAATGGTAACTTTTCTCGTCAAAATCTCCTTCAAAAGTTAAATATTTTGCAAAACAAGTCAAAACCATGTATGAAGGAAAATTGGTTCATTAATAAGTTTTTGTACATTGGATTACTGTTATGGTTTTCTGGCTTTTGAAATCGACAGCAGTTAGTTTAATTTTGTTAGCATCAACCATCTCATGGATATCTGGGACAACATCGAAGCAAATACAAGATAAAAGTCATAAGATATCTTGAGTGAAAAAAAAAAAAAAAACTTATATTCTGTTGGTGCAGATGTTTATGAGAGACTTATTACAAAGGGGAAGAAACCTGGATTTTTCCAGTTGCTGGCCACGCAGACTGTCAGTGCTGTTTGGCATGTGAGTCATTTTACTTTGCTGAAAAACCTTTATGACGTTCACAATTCTTCTCACCTTTATTTTTTGGTACAAAACAATCCTATAAAAATTTGATCACTTTTCTCATATTTTAACTGTCTTTTGTTCTCGCCTTTTTCTCATTGTTAAAGGGACTATATCCTGGGTACACCATATTCTTTGTTCAGTCAGCTTTGATGATTGCTGGTTCAAGAGGTACAAGATATGGTCTTTCTCTTTGTTATTTGGATGTATATGTTATTATTATTTTTATTTGTTTACCTCGCCCACTTTCTTTCTGAGCAGTTATATACCGATGGGAGCAAGCTATACCTAGTAATATGGCTCTCCTGAAGAAAGCACTTGTTTTCATGAACTTTGCTTATACACTTTTGGTTCTAAACTACTCCGCCGTTGGTTTTTTGGTTAGTCTCTCTCTCTCTCTCTCTCCGTTTTTAAACCATCAATTACTTGAGGCCGAAATTGTATAATTTTTGGGTGATGGATGATATATGCATCCACATCCAATCAAGCCGTCCATCAGCCATCAGTTGGCTGATGAATGGATCGTGTTGGATGATCAAGAGGGATGAATAAATATATCATTTTCCACAATTTTGTAGTTTTTAATATGCTTTTCTTCTTGTATGTTACAGGTATTAAGCTTGCGTGAGTCACTTGCCTTATTCAGGAGTGTGTATTATATTGGAACCATCCTTCCAATAGCATTGATTCTGCTTGGTTACATAATACCTGCGAAGCCTGCCAGATCTAAAGCTCGTAAAGAACAGTGAGGCTAAAGCCATACTTCTTCTCTTTGGGATGAGATTTGTAACATTTGTCCTGACCACTGTAATTTTCTACCACGTTTCAATCTTATTAAATCATAAGTTTTGGCATAAACTTTGTTTTGAACGACCTTTATGATCATAAATGAAAGAATTTTTTTTTGGTTTAGATTAATTTATTATGTAAGTTCAAGATGAGTGATATTAAGATTATATTTGATATTATGTAATCTTTTGTTGAATGATATTGGCATATTAATTTATCTTTTTTGCTTTATCTAATTTTTATTATAAAAAAATTATTCTTGTTCACTTTACATGAAGAACTATTCTGTTCACATAATTCTGGATCTAAAGCTTAGAAGTTGAGTTGAAAAGATGGCATGTATGAACAGGGATACAAATGGAACTAAAGCAAACAAAATAAAATAAACCCCAAGTTTAAAAGGCCAACGTTTTGGTTATTTAATTTTTATTCTTTTTTAAAATTTATAAGTTACTAGAAGACGACTCGGTTTTGCTTGGGTTACAAGTTTTTAATTTTTTATAAAATATAAATTATATAATTTATATTTGCTAATAAAAAATTATTTTTTTATTTTTTTGAAAACTATAATCTTTTAATAAAAATAAAAAAATAAATAAATGTTAGAATGTATCATTTAATCGTAATTGAACAAGTATCGATTTTTATTTTTAAGGAAAAACTAAAAATTTTAATATGATAGGAGGATTATTATAATAATTTTGTCCACTGATGGTTGGAGGGTATTTCTATAATTATGATTACAAAGCATTATAATAATTTTAACTAATTATGATAAAAGAGGTATTTTAATAATTATGTTAAGAGTAACATTATAATAATTTTAGTTAATCATAGAAGGAGAAGCATTATAGTGAATTTGGTTTCATGTCTTTCAATTGTCAAGTAATTAAAATGATATTATGATAATTTTCAAAGGAATCACTTTCATATAATTTAATACGTAATTGGGAAGCAGTAAAAGGACATTTTAGTTATCATGGTAGCAGGGGTATTATATTAATTTTGACCAATTATAATAAGAAGGGGATTTTAGTAAATATTTTAAGAGAGACATTATAGTTATTTTAGTAAATGATAAAAAAATAAGAGTATTACAATCAATTCAAATGCTTGTAATTCAATAGATAACTAATTAAAATGGCATTATGATGTCTTCAATTGCTTGGTTTAGTGATCAAGACAGCCTTAAAGAAGATATCAAAATTAGGGTTTGAACCCCAGTCTTCCCTTTTTCCCTTAATGTAGGGCTCTGCCCCCTTTAAATGATAAAAAAAATGGCATTATGATTATTTATAAAGGAATTAATTTCACATTATTGCATGGATATTAAAATTTAATACGTAATTATAAAGCAATTAAAAGGGTATTTTGATAATGATGCTTAAAGGATATTATAATTATTTTAATCAATTTAATATGAAGGGCATTTTCGTTCTTATGATAAAAGAGGCATTTATATGAAGCAATCAAAAGGGTAATTTTTGTAATTATAGCTAGAAAGTATCATAATAATTTTAGCTAATTATAATATGAGGAATATTTTCGTAATTATGATTAAAAGGTATTATAGTGATTTTGACCAATTATAATGAGTATTTTTGTAATTGTGGTTCAAGTACATTTTCATGATTATGATTGTAAGGCCATTATAATAACTTTGGCCAATTATGATAAGATGGATATTTTAATAATTATATTAAAAAAGGTATTATAGTAATTTTAGTTAATCATTGAAAGAGGGTCATTACAGTCAATTTAAATGTATGTAATTCAATTATCAAATAATTAAAAAGGTATCATGATAATTTGTAATGGGCATGTAATTTAATTGTCAAGTAATTAAAAGGACATTATGATCATTTGTAATGGGATTAATTTCATATTATTATATGTATGTTAAAATTTATTATGTAATTACGAAGTAATCAAATAGCTATTTTTATAATTATGCTTAGAGGGTATTATAATAATTTTAGTTAATTATAATTTGAAAGATATTTTCATAATTATGGTTGGATAAGCATTATATGAAGCAATAAAAATGATTATTTTTTGTAATTATGATTAGAAGGTATTATAGTAATTTTAGTAAATTATAATATAAGAGGTATTTTCGTAATTATAATAAGAAAGGATTTTCATAATTATGATGAAAGATTATTATAGTAATTTTGGTAAATCATAATTGAAGGGTATTTTCGTAATTATAATTAAAGGGACATTATAAAAATTTTGGCAACTGATGGTAAAAAGGCATTGCCGTTATTATGGTTGTAGGAGCATTATAGTAATTTTGGTCAATTATGGTAATATGGGCATTTTAATAATTTTGTGAAGATGTGCGTTATAATAATTTAAGTTAATCATAGAAAGAGGGGCATTACAGTCAATTTAAATGCATGTAGTTAACTTGTCAAGTAATTAAAAAGGTATTATGATCATTTTTAAAGGAATTAATTTTATATTATTGTATAGACGTTCAAGTTAATGCATAATTACGAAGCAAGCAAAATAATGTTTTCATAATATGGTTTAGGGTATTATAATAATTTTGACCAATTATAATTTGAAGAGCATCTTTGTAATTATGATAAGAAGGCATTATAGTAATTATGGCAAATAATGATATGAGAGTATTTTCGTAATTATGGTTTTAGAAGCATTATAGTAAATTTGGTCAATTATGGTAAGAGAAATATTTTAGCAATTATGTTGAGGGGACATTAGAATAATTTTAGTTAATTATTAAAAACGGGGCATTACAGTAAATTTAGATGCATATAAATCAAATGTTAAATAATTAAAAGGGAATCATTATTATTTTTAATGAGATTAGTTTCATATTAGTGTATATATATATATATATATTAAAATTTAATGTGCAATTATGAAGTAATCAAATGGACATTTTCATAATTATGTTTCGAGAGTACTATAATAATCTTAGTTAATCATACTATGAAGGGGTATTTTCGTAGTTATGGTTGGAAAGCCATATATAAAGCAATCAAAATGGGTGTTTTAGGTAATTATGATTAGAAGATATTATAGTAATTTTATCCAATTATAATATGAGTGGTATTTTCATAATTATAATAAGATGTCATTTTCATAATTATGGTTAGAGGGTATTATAGTGTTTTTTGGCAAATTATACTATGATGGGGAGCATCACAGTAATTTTAGCAAATGATGGTAAGAGGCATTTGCATAATTATGGTTATTGGACATTATAGTAACTTTAGTCAATTATGCTAAGATGAGTATTTTAGTAATTATGTGAATAAAGACATTATAATACTTTTAGTTAATCATAGAAAAATGGGCATCACAGTCAATTTAGATGTATATAATTCAATCGTCAAGAAATTAAAAGAATATCATAATTTTTTTAAGGAGACTAATTTCATATTATTGTATTGATGTTAAAATTTAATATGTAATTACGAAACAATCAAGAGGATATTTTTGTAATTATGGTTAAAGATTATTAAAGTAATTTCATTCAATTATAATATGAGCGATATTCTTAATTAAGTAAGAGATTCATAATATGAAGTAATCAAAATGGATTTTTTTTTGTAATTATGATTAAATGGTCTCATAATAATTTTAGTCAAATATAATATGAGTTATATTTTTATAATTATGGTAAAATGAGTATTATAATAATTTTGTCAATTCTAGTAAGGAAAAAAAGGATAAAGAAAAGCACGTAGTATACAATTAGTATCAAGTGGCCCTTATGGAAAAAAATTAAATCTAAAAAATTTTTATTAAATATTTTTTAAAAAAACTAAATTAAAAAAAAGTAAAAAAAAAAAAGGTAAAGAAAAAAACAAAAAGTTTTATATAAGTCGATCTCAAATATAAAAAAATTTTTAAAAAATACTTATAATAATAATTTTAGAATTTTTAAAAGTATTTATTAAATAATTTTAAAAAAAAAGTAAAAAACAATAAAAAATAAAACTCAAAAAATGACATACGATAGTAGAAAGAAATAGGACTATAAACTGCACATCACTCAATTGTATTCTTATAGAATAAAAAATTTTAATTACTTTTTTATTTAAAAAAACCAAAAATAAAAAAAAGATAACAAAGGAAAAGTAAAAAAAAAAAAAAATTAGTATAAAAGGATCCCACACATAATAAAAATACAATCTTTACAAATATATTTTTTATAATTTAAAAAAAATTATTATATTTTTAAAGGAAAAAGTTAAAAAAAGAAAAATACAAAAAAAATCCAACCAGAGCACGACACATGGCATAACTTTAAAGAAAAAAAGAAAAAAATGGGACAATTATTAGCTGATACGTGGCATTATATGGGAAAAGCAATGGTTATCTGAACATTAGTAAAATTAATTGTATAAATTCAGTTATAAGGGTCAATAAAACTATCAAAGCTAACTTAAAACCTCTTGAATATGAATTCAACCTAATCTAATTTTTTTTAAAAAGTTATCAATCAAAACCCATCTAACCTAAAATAAAAAAATGACTCAAATCCAAATTATCTAAAAGTCCATCCTGAAATGACCTAAAATTAAATTGATTTTACTTTGAAACTCAACAAAGTAGACAAAAAATTACCTAAACTTGAATAATTCAATTGTCAAACTTGAAAGATTCAAACTTAAAATTACCTAAACCCCAAAGTATTAGAACTCGAATTAAACCAAACCCAAAAAAATTCAAATTATTTTCTATCCAAATTGACCTAATCTTAAAGTAACTCGATCCATCAAACTAATACCTCTAAGAAAGCGGAATATAATATGCTTTCTTTTTTGGGAAAGATTATTAAACAAGGGTGCTTCTACTTATAATTCCTGTTTTTTTTTCATTTTCTTTCAAATTATTTTTAAATGAAATTACTAAATTATCTTTTTAATCCTAGTTTTAAAAGTCTCTAGATATGCATGTCTGATATATTTTATAATTTATAAGATATTCATATCCAGTAACTTATATAACTTATTGAATTTTTATATCCAATAAATTAAAAAAAGTTATATTTAAGGTTTAGATTGAACTCTTCTTATTTTGCTACAAAAGACCAAATTTGCCTCATCTTATAATGTCGATCTAGCTCCAACAAAGCCATTTA